TTTTTGCTTTTACCCTCTTTTTCTAGTTACTCAGCCCACGCTTGCTCTGCAGAGCCAATTTCACTCCCACTCTACTTTTACTTTCTCAAATAAACTTTGCCATTGCCTTTTGCTCATTTCATTCAGTTCTTTGTTGGAATCCAACTCTGGAAGGAGAGGTGAGCAACCCCAAACCTGATAACATTTAGTTGGCAAGCCACTTTTTAGAAGCAAGCTATTGAATAACAATATGGTTTCTTGGTTATCACTGGACAGTGAGACTCAGATTTTCATTCTGTGTCTATCAATCTAGAGATTGCAAACATTTTAGCAGAAAGAACCCTAAAGAGGCAGCAAACTTAGTTTAAGACTTCCTATTGTCATTAAGCAGCTACGTTAATTGGGAAAAACTGCTACATTTCTCTGAGCCCCTGGGGCCTCATCTGTACCATGAACCATGTGGACTATCAGGTCTCTTTAAGCTTAAGCATCTTTTGATTTATAGACATTGAATCAGAAACACAATGAAATAACTATGATAGGCTCATTGAAAGAGGCAAAAAGTGGATGAAAAATTACCAGAAGCTGGTGATCAGCTTGGGAATGAGCAAATACTGCTTATTACAGATTTTCTACGTGGAATGATAAAAGTGTTTTAGAAATAAGCCAGATGTGGTGGCCCATGCCCATAATTTCCAGCACTCTATGAGGCTGAGGCAGGAGGATCACAAAATTGGAACCCAGCCTGGGGAACACAGCAAGATCCTTTCTCAAAAAATAAAGGACTGGGGAATGCAGGTAATTGAAAGATACTGAGTTCAATCCTTAGTGTAGCAGAAAGAAGGAAAGAATGAAAAGAAAGAAGATTTAAGTGTTATTCTCTGTTTTATTTACATAGTACTGAAAAGCTGTTTGGGCACGTGGTTAAAGGGTTCCTTACAATTACATTTTGTTTTATTGGGGACTCTCTTGCCTATCTATATGTGCTTGCTGCTTCTGTTTCTGTTTTAACTCTTTATGATGTAATAATATAGCACAATGCCTAAGCAAGAGGTAAGATATTTCTTAATGAGAAATAATCATATTTGTTATGAGAAATAAGCATTGAGAGTAGCAACATATTTTGAGTAAGTGGTTATTCAGCTACAGAATATTCACTTCAACATGAAAAGTAGAACACCAAAAAGCTTGAAATAGGTAATTTTATAGGGTACTGACAAAAAGTGCAGTACTGAAAAAAATGAAGACTTGTTTCAATAAATTTGGATTCAACCTGAGTTTACATCCCAACAGGGACCCTTCTTAGTTATGTATCCCTGAGCAGGAGACTTGCTGTGCTTTGAATGTGGGTTGTCTTCTCTGAAATACATGTTGAAATTTAATCCTCATTATGAGACATTAAGGGTGGGACATGTGAGGGATGACTGGGGGTCTGATCTCAGGAGTGAGTTAATCCACTCATGTGAGGAATGGGTCAATGGGTTATCTTGAGATGGCCATACTATAAAAGCCAACTTGGCTAGGTGTCTCTTGCCATGAGATGCCCTGTCCTGCCCCTGGACTCTGCCAGCAAGAGGTCTGTCACCAGCTATGGCCCCTTGGCCTCCAACCTGAACAGTCAAAATGAACCTCTTCATAACTTACTCAGGCTGTAGAATTGTGTTATTGGCAGCATAAAAAAGACTAGGTTAAAACTTAACTTTTTAAAGTTTATAATATGTAGACAATAAAATGTAATGTAACTGGCATGGTAAAACGTAACTTTAAAAGGTAAAATTGTTTCCTTTAGGGACAAGCTGCTTCTCCAAATTTCCTCAGGCCGAGGTGGAACGGTGCCCACCTCTCCTCAGCCCAGAGGAACGGAAAAATATGCAGATGCTGGCACCAGGAGGCCAGGGTCCAGTTTCTTTCCACAGGCAAGGGAGGAGCAGGGGATGGCTGGGAGGCCTAAAGCAAGCTTGGAGTTGTCTTTTGTCTCATGATACTCTCTCCCCTCTCTTCCTCACTGTGAGAGGCACGCACCTGGACCAAGTAAGATGGTGATTTGTGGCCATGTAAGGCCCCTCCAGCTCCTGGGGGCTTTCCACCATGCCTCCTGTGGTTTGTTTGGGAGCAGTGAGCAAAGGGACTTGATCCTGCAGACCTGAGCAGCCTGTAACACTGGAGATGAATTGTGTAAACTACCCTGCTTGCAGTAAATCCTGGTACAGTACTGTAAATTTATTGATATGGCCCCTTCTCCACAGCAGCAGCTTCTCTGAGTCCCTGTCAAGGTGTCAGTGCTGCAGCAGCCTGGGAGCCTCTGTGAGCACCTGTATAGTACTCTTCAGAATGGCTCTGAGGGGGACCAGCAGTGGTGAACCCATGGCATGCACACTGCAGTGGGCACACGGAGACTTCTCTGTTGACAAGTCACCCCAGCAACTGAGCACTGAATATTCAGGTTTAATCGCAGAGTTGGCACTTTGCAATACATGAGTTGGTTTGGGGTTGCAGTTTGGGCCCTCAGTCTGTAAAGGGTTCACCACCACTGCTTAGATCTAAGCCAGGATTAACTGCTCCTTCCTCCGGGTTCTGACTGTGTCATCCCAGAGCAATGAAACTCATTCACAGGTTCATTTCACCAAGGCTTTTTGAGATCTCTTCAGGCAGTTGAGGGAATGCGTAGTGGCCCCTGCCTTCATGGAGTTCTAATTGGAAGTGGAAAAGAAATAAAGACCCAGAAAGTAATTTTGTTTTGAGGCTTTCACCTGTATGTTAGAGTAATGATGAAATATTCAAAATTACAAATTTTACTTCTTTCAAAGGACATAGGTAAGGTCACTTATGTAGGACTGTATAGGTTAAAGGTGTGCAAAGAACAGGATGTTTCTGGGGGTACAGTATCTTCTCACCCTTGTTCCCACAGAGCTACAGCTGGCCATTTTCGAAAATAGAGATGGATTAAGCTCATTGCTTGATTTAGTTTAGTTTCATTTTATTTCTGTGGTACTGGGAATTGAACTGAAGGTCTCTGGACTAAACAACATCCATACCCAGGTCCGCTTTTTATTTTGAGATGCAGTCTCACTAAATTATTCAGGATGGGCTTGAACTTGCAATCCTCCTGCCTCAACCTCACAGACAGCTGGGATTATAGGTGTATGCCACCATGCCTGGTTTGTAGCTGTGTTTTAAATGTAGTGAGCTATATTGAATAACTCTCCATTATAATGTTGAGTTGGGGCAGGAAGAAAGGATGAACCAACACATATGAGAGTAATCTATTCTAGAATGTCCAAATCAACATTCACTGAGTATCTTAGCTCATTCAATCAAAGAATGATAAATTCCAAGCCAGGCAAGGCGGTGCACACCTATAATCCCAGCACTCGGGAGGCTGAGACAGGAGGATCTCTGTGAGTTCGAGACCAGCCTTGGCTACATAGTGAGTTCCAGGTCAGTCTCAACTACATAGTGAGACACTGTCTCAAGAAGAAAAAAAATGATAAATTCCTGCTGTGCTTTATATTACTTTTTATATTTCCTTTAGTAAAGCAACTTGATAAAGTGAACAGTAAAAACAAAAGAGAAATGTTTTCCAGCACCACAGCAGTAAACATTTGCCCACACAATTGAAAATGAGCCTCCCTCTGCCCCAGACTCTTGGATATACTAATGATAAATATGATTTATCTACTAAAGTAAGATCTTTAACAGACATTTCTTTATAGTAATTCTATGTTAATAGAATTTTGGGGGTTTTGTTTGTTTGTTTATTTTTCCTGAGACAGGATCTCACAGTCTGGTCTTGAATTGACTATGTACCTCAGGCTGTCCTCGAAATCAAGGTGATCCTTCTGCCTCAGCCTTCTGAATGTTAGGATTACAGGTATGTGGCACCTCTCCTAGATGAGTTTTGAAGCCAGATGGGATTTTCATTTAATTTTTTTCAGTTTTTTTTATTAGTACATGTTTGCAGTCAATAATGATTATATTCCTTGTGGGGAGTTCGTACATATACATAACACATCTTAATTCATTTTTTAATCCCTTTTTTTCCTCTCCTTTCCTCACCTTCTCTCCCTTTCTTGGTCCCCTCCCTTTTGGCAAAAGATCTATCTCCCTATTTTCTGTTACCTATCTTTTATTATGTTCTTGATTTGCATTTTGAGTTTCTCATATAAGAGAAACTATTTGATATTTAAACTTGTGTGACCAATTTATTTCATTTAATGTTATGGTCTCAAAGTGCATCCATTTTCCAACAAATGATTCAAGTTTATCCTTTTTGGCAGAGTAGTACTCCAACTGTGTATAGAAACCACCATATTTTCTTTATCCATTTATCTACTGATGGACATATGGGCTTCTTCTAAGGTTTAGCTATTATGAATTGTGCTGCTATAAACATGGCTATGCATACTTCATTGTATATGATGTTTTAAAATCTTTTGGGAAGATACTAAAAAGGGAAATAGCTGGGTCAAATGGAATTTCTAATTTTAGTGTTTTGAAGAATCTCCATACTGATTTCCATAATGGTTGTACTAGTTACATTTCTACCAGCAATATAGAACACCCTCCCCTCCAGCCCCACAAACTTCACCAGCATTTGTTATTATTTGATTTCTTGATGGTAACTTCACCATTCTTTCTGGAGTAAGATGGAATCTCAGTGTTGTTTTAATTTGCATTTCTTTAATGGCCAGAGGTGATGAACATTTTCTCATGTATTTATTGGCCATTTGTACCTCTTCGTATGAGAAGTATATTCATTTCAGTTGCCCATTTTTTGATTGGGTATTTTATTTTGAGGGGTCTAATTTTTTGAGTCCTTGGACAGAAGACTAAAATCTAGACTCTATAAAGAACTTTAAAAAATGAAGTTAGGAGGGATATTAGAGAACTAGTACCTCCTCCTTATCTTAACATTGAGGAAACAAAGAGCAAGTAGAAGACATTAAATGACTGACTGTAGTCAACATTCATAGCATCGCACTTGCCTTCTCACCCTCCATTGAAAAGACAGTGCTACCTACCACACCAGTGCTTGGAATCAAAGTTTCTGTTCAGGTCTGTCCCAATGCAACCATTTCTCCCATGGATAGAGCGGTTCTTTCTCCACATTCGATTCTAAATAAGTAAAACAAGAAATGATAACCATGGCAGCCAAGTTTGCAACAAAAGGAAAGGCACAAGTCCAAGGGTTGGGGCTTTGGGGTTCTCTCCTTCAGCCCTATAACTTCCATGACCTCATCCTCTTGCTGTCTTTGTGGCATCCCTTTCACACAGTCCCCATTTCTGTCCACATCCCAATCACATGAACTCAAGTTATTTTTGTTTGAGCCAAACAAAATGGTACTATTTGATGAATTGTTACCCATGCAAATAAAAACTTTTATTTGGTCCCACTAGACTCCTTATTAAGCTTCATGTTTCCTTTAAATTAATATTATGCACAGGCTCATTTTGAGCTCCTTTAAAAAAAAAAGCAAAATAACTTGGCATCTTGACCTTCCATGCTGTCTTTTTTGTGCTGTGATTATCTTTTAAAGAATTTTCTTTTTGAGATGAGTGATCAAATACTTATTAGTAAAGTGTCTGGGATTTGCTCCAAAATAATATGGGTACTGTAGAAGTGAGTGCAGGATATGGATGAAACAAGATTAGCCATAGGATGATTATCACTGAGTATATGGTGGTTATGTAGGATGTTCCTGTACGATTTTGTCTACTTTTATGTATGTGTGAAATTTTCCATAATAGAAATTAAAACCTTTTCGTACACTTCTGTACCACGATTCAGGATTCTGTGTATAATTCAGCTGATGTGTCCTTTATTCCAAGAGGAGGCACTCCTTCCTTTGCCTTCGCTTACCTTTTTCCATGTGTAGTCATAACCATCCACATTAACCAATGGCATAATATAGAAATTTGTGTGTTTTAGAAGATTGGTATACAGCTTCTCTTTCCCATAGAACTGAGTTACCTACAAATTAAACCAAATATGTTTAAGAGTATCTAATTTGAAGTCCATTAAAGCTTCATCTGGGTTTTTGTGTGTTTTTCTTTTTAAAAGGGTACTTGAGATGCTTCATTTTTCAGAAAGAGTATTAATTCCTTAAAATGACCGAAATTAGGATACAACCTGTTACCAAGTGGTGCTAAATGCGTTGTATGTGGTTCAAATAGTCTTTTTATATAATGAAGACAGGAAATAGAACGACACATTTCTTAATGTTCCATCAAAAAACAGAAATATTTCTTTATTAAAGCCATAAAGCTTTGCTGGGCGTGGTGCTGCACACCTGTAATCCTGGCACTCAAGAGAGTGAGGCAAGAGGATTGCCATGAGTTCAAGGCCAGTCTGGGCTATGTAGTGAGTTCAAGGCCACCCTGAACTGTACAGCAAGACCTATCTAAAAAATATTAGTGAGAGTCAGATTAAAATTCTTTATCATAAATAATCACTTATAAAACATGAGAGAAAAAAGAAAGAAAAAAATACCAGATTTTTTGTTCAATTTTTTAAAAATCTACTAAAGGTGAGAAAAGCTTAATGAAAGAAAGATAATTTTATAGACAGAGGAAAACCATATTTTAAATAGTTGAGCAACCAGTTAAATATGTTTTAATGCTACAAACTTGCAAATGTATATTGATGTCATTTTTCAATAAGAATACAGTATTCATCCTTAGAATAACATAGGAGAGCAGTTACTTTCAAAAATAAAACATTTGTCATTTTAATGTTTATGTTTGCTCAACTTTTAATAGATGGGGCATGGTAGATTTGTTCATCTGCTTCCCTTTCTTTGGCTAAGAGTCTTTCAGAAAATGTTAGATAAGAGAGATGACTGTTGACCCCTGGAATCTCCTTTTCCCCTATCAGGACTCCAGCTGGAAGGGACTGAGTGAGGGCTGAGATAGAGTCCATATTCTGTGTGCCAAGTTCCACCTTTAAGTGTGGCTGTAGCTGCAATCCCAGGGCAATGACTAGCTATTTTTCTTTAACAGGTTAATTAAGATTATAATTAATATGCCAGGAAATTCAGTTTTAAGATGTAAAATTAAGAGATTTTTTAGTATATTCACAGAGTTGTACAGCTATCACTTGTTACCTGATTTCAGAACATTTTCATCAACACCACCACTGCCAAAACCCCAGGTCCATTAGGAGCGTCCCCCCTCTTCCTCCCTGTGGATATCTAGTCGGCATGCAGATATCTAGTTGTCCCAAGAAATGGTAGCTATTTTGGAGCTGGCATAAAGGCATTGCTGAGTCTAGTGGTAAGCCTGTCTAGGTGTACATTCAGAGATGATGGTCCAAAGCAATTGGGATTTGGTGATGATCTAAAGGGAAACAACAAAATAAAACCAGATTCTAAGGGGAGTGCTATAGTTTTAAAGAAAAGATAGAGGGAAGCTGGGTGCCAAAAAGACTTTCATGCCTTTAGAAGAAGAGGGCCCTGACAGAGGCTGGTCTGAATTGGATATTTTCCTAAGCTACAGTGTATAAAATCAGAGTCTAATAGTGATATCCAAGCCTGTGTTCCTTTCTCATCATTGTAGAGATTAAGGGCACGGTTACACAGATGCAGGGCAGTCCAAGAGATATTCTTCATTAATTGTGAATAGTGTAAAGTATTCCCAGATTTAAATTTTCCCAGTTATTTGTGCCTCAATAACACACAATGTAGATACCTAATCATGCCACTAAAGTAATGTAACCTGTAAAGTACTACAAACTGTGTAATTCCAGATTAAAACTCTCAACTATGATTAAAGACATTTTTTAAAATACCATTTCAACTAACTTGAACTTGTCTGTACATCTTGCAATATTCTTTACTGTTGATCTGATGTGTATCACGGACTTGTCCAAAGGTGCTATTCAGTGCCTTCTCATTGTACTATGTAAGTGTATTTACACTTACTGTTTTACGTCTCTCTAGTGAATGAATCACTCTTCACGAGGTGGGTGGCTAAAGGAATTGTGGAATTATGCTTGAGACACAAAAGACAATACATAAATATTTATCGAAGGTACGATTTATCAACAAGGCAAGCAGTCTAAGTGAAATCATGGTTCTACTATTAAGAAAAAGAGGAAGAAAGAAGATGACAGAGTTTGGGAGAAGATCACAGAAGTGAGTAAGTGACTAAAGGAGGGAGATAAAGGGTGGAGTGATTCCTGCTGCACACGATCACTCAGGTCTTCGCCTCACCCTGCCTGGAGTGTGCTAAAGCTTTACCTTTAATACAGTCCTGAGAGCAGTGCTTACCAACACATTAGCCATAACTATATAGCAGAGAGTAAATCAGTACATAAAGGCATACAAAATGGCATGGAAGGTTTCAAAATAAACTATTATGCTCATTACCATTAGAAATAAAGAGCCGGTTCAGTCCTTACTGATCTCTATTTCACATGCATAATTCAGACATTTCCCAATGACAATATAGTATTGAGCCCAGTAGCAGGTAATATTTAGGTACCCTCTGGATCTCAGCTTTGTATTTCAGAGAAAACTTGAAACAGTAATTAAAATTTCACAAGGAATGTGGAGCACTAATTATGTGCATAAAACAATATGCCGAGTTATGGAAAATGATTTTAGCAGCAGTTTTCTCTTCAAAAAATAAAATAAAGAGTAGTAATTCAATGCTATAAGTACTATAATAATAATAATAACAGAGCATGCAAGATGGCTCAGAAGAACAGTTAATTCTAGGGGTGTTTGGGGTTGAAGCTTCTGAAGGTCCAGTCAGGGGGCAAGAAGTTGAGGGCTCAGGTAGATGAGAGGATGCAATTCAGCCCAAAACAGTTGGTGGCACATGCCTGTAATCCCAGCACACAGGAGGCTGAGGCAGGAGGATCGCTGTGAGTTTGAGACCAGCCTGGGCTACATAGTGAGTTCCAGGGCAGTCTCAACTACACAGTTAGACCCTGTCTCAAAACAAACAAACAAAACAAAACAAAACAAAAAGTTCTGGAAAGGAGCTGATAAATCATAAAGCAACAGAGACAGTCAGGGGCTAGAAATCTACCAAAGTTTTAAAAAAGCATTTGTAGTAGGTACAAGGAATGAAAGAAACAGTAGGAAAGGAAATCGAGAAGTCAGATTGTCTTTTTCTAACTTTTCTTGTGGCTCTCCAAGGCCATATTTGGAATCTAAGGATAGGGAAGAGCATTACTTCTGACTCTCAGCGAATGACCATGGGAGAAATTCATAAAGCAGATTCGAAATGAGGTTTAGTAATGGAGAGTTCAAGGAAGTGAGAAGTTGGGTTAGTAGGTAGATCTGGTACACAAACTCTTTGAGTTTACTCGAAAAGATTTCAAGGGCTAGAGGAAATAAAAAAAATGATGCATGGGTTCCAGGGAATTATCTGGAGGTCAGTAAATGGCCATGATAAGAAAAAGTAAGGATGATGCAACCTGATTATGAAATTTAATGAAGAGAAAGAGCACTGGCAAAATTAAGATGGGGAGTACTGATCGCTCCTTCTGTCCCCTTGGCACACGGTGTTGAAGGAAAGAGCGGCCTCTGACCTGATGGAGCCAGTATGAAGCAGCATCCTTAACAAGTCACACAGCAGCCAAGGTGAGGAGAGCAGAGAATTCCGCAAAGGCCCCGAGCTTGGAGAGAGCTGACTGAGTGTGTAGTTCTGTGAAATCTCTCCAGGGCAGACTTTCAGAGTGAGCAACGAGAAAAGTCAGTTTGGAGAGGAAGCACCAAGCAAGGTGTGCTGACGGGCACACATTCACTAGGCTCCTCCAATGCACTTAGCCCTGAGCTTGGTTTTGGTTGTGGCAATGCTGACTGCCCAAATGGGCCTCAGCTCCCGACTCTGCAGAAATACAAGGCATCCAATTTTGGCCTCCTGAGAACAAAGGCAAAGTGCAGAGAGAAATGATTGGCTGCCGGCTTCCCAAAGTGGACTGCTATCTTCTCTGAGATTGGACTATATGATTTCTGCAATCTCACTGAGTTGCAGAAGGGAGAGAAACATAAAAGTTAAAGTTTCCCTTCACATTTGAGCATACTGACTTATTAGCATAAAATTTACCCATTCAGAAAGTTTTAAAAGTTAAATATTTTTTTCCCTCGGTGGTTTAAACCATTATGAGAGTCAGATGATCTGGTTTAATTTTAGTCAGGCTGAGATGGAACATCTTCTGTGTCCATTCAGTAGAACATACAGATCATGTTAACAGGCCACAAAAATCTGGGTTACATTGTCGGGACAAAATACATGACTATACAATTCTCAAGCTATATCTTGTTCTCTGTTGAATCTCTAGAGGTTGGAATCTCCTCAAATTTTGTAAATATTTGTAAAATTAAAAAATTTAATATTTATTACAAAGATTCAGCAAGTAGGTAAACGGTAGGATGTATAACAGAAGGGAAAATGTCATGCTAAGAGGGACACTGATTAGGAACAACTTTCACAATATGAAGTCGAGTCAATATGGTTTGGAGTTTCTTTCCAGCCCTCCTCAGACTCAGCATTAGGATGATAAAACAATGCTCTCTCTTGCTTGCACCTTTCTCTCTCCCTTAACTACTGCTCCCTTTATGAAAACAAACCAATTTGAGTAGAAGGTTCACGATTAGAAAATGAGCTCTGTTAAGAGATCCGTAAATTGGAACCAGTCTCATTTGGTCCAGATAGTATCAGTGGCGGCTGGAAACTTTGCAGTACTTTCAGAGATGCTGCAGTCAGGAAAATAAGATGGTTAGCCAAGTGAAAGTGGATACCACATTTGTGAAGACAGGTCTAAATGACAACTTTTCAATTTCCTAACTCATCTATTTTATGTTATGTGTATTCATGAATACAAAGATTATAATCACTATTATCAGAAATATACAAGTTTTGAGTTATTTTTCCAGTGGTGTGGCTCTGTATAAGTCAGTTGTTATGGTTTTATATCTAGATGTCCCCCTAGAGTCTCACGTCCTGACAGGTGAGGCTTTTGGAAGGTACTGGGTTGTGGAGGCTGATGGCTGACTTGCTATCTGGAGGGGGAGTCTGGTGGGAGGAGGCAGGTGTTCGGGCGCCTGGCCTCGAAGGGTTTATCTCCTTTCCTGGCTGGTCCCTTGAAATATCTCTGCTTGCCATGCCATCAGCTGCTCTACTTTGTTATGCACCCCTGCCATGCTTTCCTGGGCCTTGGAGCCAGCAGACTATGGACAGAAACATGGGCCAAAATCAACCTCTCCTTCTTTAGGTTGTGGGTGTAGAGAAACTTCTTCGGTGATGAGCAAGTGACTAGGACATCAGAGTAGAGGAAGCATATATCTATTTTATAAGATTTGAAGTATAATTTCAACTGCTATTATCTGTTAAGGAGGATTATAACTATTTTATTTTTTACTTTTATGGAACGCTACTAGTCTTATATATCACTTTTTTTTTTTATGACAGTCCCTTCTTCAGGGACAAAATTCCCCATAATGACACAGGAAAAACCATTATCTTTTCTGTAAGGATATGTTTTATATTTAGCTACCAAAGGCTGGATGTGTCAAAAAGCTGCCTGGACAATTCAAATAAATTAATAAACACATAAATAAGGACCCAACTGGCTGGGCGTGGTGGCTCACGTCTGTAATCCCAGCACTTGGGAGGCTGAGGCAGGAGGATTGCTGTGAGTTCAAAACCAGCCTGGGCTACATAATGAGTTCCACGTCAGTCTCAACTACATAGTGAGACCCTGTCTCAAAAATAAAAAATAAAAATAAAAATAAGGACCCAACTTAGATAATTGCTTCAGAAATTTCTTTTATGTAGTAAAAATATTATAATCAGTGTACTATTTCTTAATTATTTCTAGGGTTTACACCAGATAGAAATGCAGGAAGGAAAAGATCAATTATCTTAAGGGCAATTAAAATACTGAAATATTTTTCGAACTTTATGTACATAAAAGTCACTCAGAAAGGTTGTGAATATTGTGGCTTCTCAAGTCTCATTTCCAGATTTTTGAGTCATGTGCCAAGATTTGAAGTAGGAAAATGCATTTCAGTTACAGTCCAGTAGATTCTAACCCAGGTGATCTTGGACCCCACACTGAGAAACACTGACCTAATGTGAATACTTACATAGCCTATGAACCACAAGCAGAAAGCTGGAGAGATCCACTCTCTGGCATGAATTCCACAGTCAATCCATATGGCATTCCTGGCTGTTTGTTCTTTGCCAGAAACCTGCTCAAAAACCCCCCAAAGTAGTAAGCAGTAAGTCGCAGTAAAATAACCTTTACTTACACGGCACTTACATTTAATCCTTTCAGCATATCTACAGAATTTAAACACATTGCTTTCTGTATTCCTTTGAGAATTCTCATGAAAATTAAAATCTGGTGAGAACAGTGATATAGATAAAGTTTCACTACTCGTGTGCAGCCCAGAATCTTGGCTGAAAGCACTCTTCATTTTCCACAGTTAACTGGTCACTGAGCACTGCATTTGGAAGGATGGAAGCAGAGACTAGAGAGCCAGGGTTTGGGGCCATATCGTTACACCTAAGTGAGAGGTAGACAAGTGTGTATCGGTCAAGTAGCCTTCCCTGGGAGGTGTGGATACACAGCAGGAATGGAAATTACCCCCATCATCTTCCCTTGAGTGCGCACTTTTTATACATAGACTATTTCTCCACCTCACACAAAAAATACCACACATATTGCTTCACACAAACTGATACCAACAGATCCAAGGGGTCAGAGACCATTTTACCTTTCATAGCATGGTGGTTACTGCAGGGTTCTAAATCTGTAGAACGATTCCCACCCCTTTCTCAACAATAGCCTTTGAAGTCTTTAGAAGAGTTCTCAAGGGACTGGGATTTAGCTCAGTGGCACCAAGCTTGCTTGCCAACTGCAAGGTGCTGAATTCCAACCCCAGTACTGGGAAAAAATACTGTAGAAGAATTCTCAAAAATACTTCCACAATTAGTCATAATTTATGTGATTTAAAAAATTAGTTACAACACAATTTAGAGTATAGAAGGAAGGGAAAAGTTTGTTGTAGAATTTAACATATATGTACCTTGGTAATTCTAAAATAAGAAAAAGAGATTTAAACATTGCTATCCACACCACTCTAATATCCAGCAGCAAAGCAAAGAAGAAAGCCAAATGCCGGGTGTGGTGGTGCACGCCTGTAATCCCAGCACTTGGAAGGCTGAGGCAGGAGGATCGCTGTGTTCGAGACCATGTTGTAGAATTTAACATATATGTACCTTGGTAATTCTAAAATAAGAAAAAGAGATTTAAACATTGCTATCCACACCACTCTAATATCCAGCAGCAAAGCAAAGAAGAAAGCCAAATGCCGGGTGTGGTGGTGCACGCCTGTAATCCCAGCACTTGGAAGGCTGAGGCAGGAGGATCGCTGTGAGTTCGAGACCAGCCTGGGCTACATGGTGAGTTCCAGGTCAGTTTCAACTACACAGTGAGACCCTGTCTCAAAAAGAAAGCCAAATGGCCACCAATGGCCACATTGTACAGGTGAAGAGAACTATTTGACTGATTTAATCTACTCAAGTTCAGGAAAATTCCAAGTTGTCCAGTTGTCCAGTTGGCCCACTTGACAGTTCTAACTGCAGAGCAAACTCTTGGCCCTCCTCTTTCCAGTGTTGGCAACATGGAGGGGCCCCAGAGATTCACATTATGTTGAGTGACAGTAGGACAAAAGTACCCAGGGTGCATGCTTTTCCAAGGCATATATTCAGATTCCAGACACACAAGTTCAAATTACGCATGACATGAGTGGCATAAATGTTATGGGTGGATATACCACCTTTGCGTGGACCAAATCCAATTATTCAACTCAACCATTCATAGGACCTGACATTTCACATGTCTGCCTTGAATGAGTGCTGTAAGTTCTTGCAGGGACTGATTAAAATTGAAAAATCCTGGCTCAAAATTTTATCTTTGGATGGCTGAAGAGACTCGCCTCTCATAATGTGTATAATTTCTGTGTCAAGAAATCTAATGTGTTTTTCAGCAATCACATTTTTTCAGAGATTTAATTCTTTAAGGGACAGAGTGATTAAAAAAAAAAAACTAAAACCACAGAATTAAAAATTAACAAGTAAGAATTGTTATGGCCTTTGCTCTTAAAATTTCATACTCATTAGCTTTTACTAAGGCAAATTTATTTGAGAAAAGACATGCTATCCAAATTACTGAAAGTTGATCAGATTCTTTCCCGTAGATATTTCAACGAAAAATAATAACCAAACAGTGATTGGAGCAGAAGACATCGTATGAGATCTACTGCAAAGAACCCCAGCATTGTTCTGCTTTTTATGCTTCCCTAGGTTTGATTGTTCAGCTTTTGCTTTGGTTTATAAGACCCCCCACCCTGACTAACATGAAGCCAGTCTGTCTAAGGTGGTAATGATGCAAATAAAACATAGTTAACAATAATCTAGATCATTTTATGTATGTATGTGAGCGCTGCAGCCCCTGAAAATTCAAAGGCTCATGTACTGTTGCATAAACACAGGCAGAGTCAAATCTAGAACTGGGGCTTCACTCTTAGATCATCACTTCATTATTAAAGGAACCTTTAAAGGTAATATCTGGCCTCTACATAGCTGGATATTAAAGTTGAGGAACACTTGGAATACAAATATTTCCAGAATTCGAAAAAACAACTAAAAAAAAAAAGATCCTGGTTATAACAAACAGCAGTGGAGAATTAATCCCTTCCCTTAAGCTGAAACAGCAAAGACCCTTCTCACAGCATACCTTTAAAACATAAAGTGGATGCTTCTCATAAGATGATCCAATCTGGGTTTTTCTAAGCATATCAGGATACTTCTCAGTTATTGTTTCTATCCAAGAGTAGATCTATGAAAACAGAAACCAGACATCAGTCACGGGAGAAGTTCAAAGTATTTCCATGACCTCAGGCAGCAGACAATTTCTTAAAAAACTGGAATTCACTTAAAATCTTTGTGTATGGAGGAAATGAGGAACTAAAACATTAGGGTAGGGTTTTTCTGTTGCTGTTTAGGAAAATGAATGAAATTAAAAATTTGATAACTGTCAAAGTTTAGAAAAAGAGTTAAAAAGTACTAAGAAATATGTAACAAAGTACAAAAAAATGAAGCTTTAAAGTATGGCTTCTGAAAATTATTTTTATTTTTATTTTTTTTATTTTTTGGTATCGGGGATCGAACTCGGGTCCTTGTGCTTAGAAGGCAGGCCACCGAACTTCTGAGCTAAATCCCCAGCCCCCTGAAAATTATTTTTAAAAGCTCTTCACTTTGAGTCCCTGCCTCTGTCATGAGATCTTTTTCCTGTTCGTTTAAGAGCTCATGTTTATTTATTTTTTTTTCAGCTTTAATTGAGTTTATTGGTACATTTTAGGGATACAGTACAGTTACATTCATTGTTGGGATCATGTATCTCTACATGGCAAGTCTTGATTCTCATTTTTTCCCCTTACCTCTGCCCTCCCTTCACCCCCTCCTCCCCTCCCCATCTACAAACACTTTATTTTCATCTTTTCATTCTCTCACATTTTTTTCTTTTCCCTTTTTACTCTTCCCCTACCCATCCCACCTTCCCTACACTTTTAGCTCCTTTCTTCCCATTTCTAAATGTCAGTAATCTTATTAGAATCTTATGCATTGTTGCAGATTATTCACACCAGGGACACTATTCGGTATTTACACTGTGTGACTTGTTTATTTCACTTAGGAGTATATCTTCAATATGTATCCATTTTCCTATGAATGAATCTATTTTCTCATTCTTTATGTCTGAGTAATATTCCATTTTATAGAAAAACCACAACTTCTTTATCTAGTTTCCAACGGATGGGAAGAGCTCATGTTTATATGAGACTTCAGAAAAGATAAAAGAATTGGTCAAGACTGAGGGAGGCTGGGCATGGCCTTCACCCAGAACAAATAGCACTGTCATTGTTTCCCACTGGACACTTGTGCCAGCACAGTGAGAGTGGTGGGATGACAAGAGGCAAAGGTGAGGACAGCTGGGAGGAGAAGAAAACAAACAAACAAACAAACAAAGAAAAACAATGTCACCATGAGAAGTTGGATTTGGACGTCTCTTCTTCGTCAGAGTTCAGTACTATTTGAGGTTCTCTCAAGATGACAGTGAGAGGAAATAAAAAAAAAATCTAGGGCTGATTTTAAGGTAGCATCTACATCAAAGCAGGCACTAAATTCATCTGGTACGGGATCTCTGGGATGGGATGTGATCCTATTTTAACATAGAACAACTTCCCAAGAGCCATAGTAAAAGTTCTTGCATCTTCTTAAGTGGGAATGATCAACTGTTGACCTTATCTCTGGGATCTTTTCTAGAGGTGTTTTCAAATAACAACCATAGCTGATGAGAAATTGAGCCCCATTTACTCCAGGGTTTTTTTAGAGTGCTGGAACCAATGCATCTGAAATCGTTATGGAGGGAAAACTGCATTCCATAAAACATCCTCAGTAAACCACTGGAGTCAACTCAGCTGTAAGGCAGTCTGTCAGAGTGAAACGGATAGTTCATCTGGAGCCAGGGGAGCTTGCTGAGGGACCACCTCCACTCACCTGAACCTGAGCAATGCCTCAGGGCCAACCCCCCAATCCTTGTTCTAAGGTTTACTGTAAGGAGACAGAGATAAGAAAAGCAAAGACCTCCAAGCCTGCCCTGGAAAATTCCAAAATTTCAAACGTGGGCACATGTGTACCAGACGTGCTGGTATGACCTGCAACAACCTTTCTTTACCTGGAGCTCATTGAAGGTTCATGCATAGGAACTGCATCTCATACATAGAATTACAATGGGATGAATTATGGGAAAATACTGGTGCAACAGAGGCAGCTGACATGACTCAGTATCCTGTCAATCATGCTCTGGAGGACCCCTGGTAAGTGCCTTAAAGCTAGTGGGACATTTAAATCCTTAAACATTCACATTGTTTTCCTTTTGCTGGCACAAGATCCCTCATGCCAAGCATACTTTCACCTTAATAAACTTTGCTGCTGTTACCTTGCCATTCTGTGCTGTTACAATCAATTCTTTTTTCCTCACACACAAGAACTGGAAAAGGGTTAAGTGGCTCCTAACCCAAAGTAATAAATAGACATATCAAAACTGCACATGTGCCAAGTATGCTGGTGCTCACCCGTCATCCCAGTACTACAGAGGCTGAGGTGGGAGGATTGCCTGAACTGCACAGTGAGTTCAAGGCTAGCCTGGACTATACAGCTGAGACTTCGTCTCAAAAAAAAAAAACAACTAAAACAACACAAAACAAAACAAAACAAAACAAAAATTCTACAGGTGCCTAGAAATCCCCACCGCTACATCCTTAAACGTCAGCTTAAGCAGTCCCTCCCGACCATGTTCGAGTTCAACTTGGGCAACTAAGCGACTTAGCAAAAACCTGCCTCAAAATAAAAAAACTTCAAAAGGGATGGGGATGTAGCTCCAGGTGAAGACCCTGAATTCAGTCCCTACTACCACAAAACACAGACACACACACACACACACACACACCCCAAATAATCATTTAAGAAGAAAGTTTTGCTACTCATATACATTACTTATATTGTATATTTTATATGTGGCTCAGAGAAATCCTCTTTACTGAATTCGGCCCAGGCAAGCCAGGTGTGTTCAACCTGTGGGCAGTGAGTTGAACATATTCACAGTGTATTTTCTCCAACAGGGGAGGCTGTGCTGTAGGAAGACAGCTTTATGGAAAGACTACTTATTTATCAGTTCCAATGATGCTTACAATTCCAGTTTGGAATTTTTTTTTTTTTTTTTTT